TTGGAAAAAATGCCACTGGGATAAACACCCAAAAAGGATCTTAGTGGCAGGGAAAAAAAAGAAAAAAGAAATTCGTAGGGCTGAAAATCCGAAAAGAACCTCGAGCGTTGGAAAAAAAAGCTATCGAGTTGAACACTCAAAAGGGACCCAGAGCGATAGAAAAATAAAACTTCTCTATCTTTTTGTCTCTTCTCTAAAATCTCCATATATTCTTCTCTTCTCAAGTTAGAATGGCGTTAGAAAACAAAAGAAGGTATCAGTCAAAATAAAACTTGAAGAAGCTCGACTATATGAACTTCAAAAGAGTGGTAGTGGAGGAACAAAGTCCAAGGATATTCTGAGCACTTTGAGGCATATCCCATATTATCCAAGACACCGGTTTCCTCGAAAAAAAAACAAGAAAAAGTCTTCTTTGAATTGTGACATAAGAGCCAAGATTGGAAGATAAAGAAGTACTTAGTGATTCCTCATCTTGAAAGTCCCAAGTAGAGGCTCGACAAAGCTCATGAAAAAAAAGGGAAGAAGAAGAGAGAGCTCCATAGTAGCATGAGCCTAAACTGCTTACCAAAACTTGTTTTTTCAAAATTTCTCATCTATCTTCAAAATTTCCTCTATGTGTTTCGTGAGTTTTCAAAAACCTTAATTTCTTTGGTTAAAACGTAGCCTGAAAACCTGTTTTTGTTTCAAAATTCAATCTATCTTCAAAACCTTCTAAAACATTTTTAAAAAATGAAGGAGTTTCATGGAGGCTTGGATATGATGCGTCTGCCACCACCAAATCCTGGATTGCCATGCTTGTAAATCCTTAGGAAAACAGAGACCAACCCATAAGTTCCCATACCAAAAAGCCTGAAATTGTGGACCCAAGAATCAAAATCGAAGGCGAACAAGAAGTTCAATTAACCAGAAATTCATCATCCCATCATTTCTTCTAAATCAAAGTCTCATTCGATATGAGAATCAATCCCAGGAAAGAGGTCTAAAGTCGAAGATGACTACACTAGCAGCTTCCCAGGTAGCATTGAAGTGACTACAACAAGAAGTGTCACCGGTTCAAAGATAGCACGGTTCCTGTTGACTGTCACTTCGGATCCCGATTGTCGGAGACCTCTCAACCGCACTGACTCAAAGATTGTAGTGTCAGTTCGATGTTTTACGGATCAAAAGCATCCATCGACGTACCGTCTACCCAAATGGTACTGGTCATTCAAAAGAATGATCTCTCAAAAAATGTTTTCCTCCCCACCGTGTCTCAGGTGTCTACTTCTTTGCCATTCACTGGTTCCCCAGGTAAATTTCAAATAGGGGCAACTATAGACAACCCCTTGAAATTCTGGTTAAGGGAACTCATAAAAACCTTGATTCTGGTCCTAAAGGACCACACAAACACCCTAGTAGACCATAGGAAACCTAGACCTAATTTAATTACCTCAAAACTACCCAAATCCAATCCCAACATAAAGTTGAGCCTGAGATCTTTCCAACGGTCTAAGAATCACCTGAACCGGACCTATAGATAAAACGATAGAATACATGATAATTTAGTCCCCGTGAGACTTAAGTGTCGGGCCGCAGGCCGGGCTGTAATGCGGTCCGACAGGCCAGATGTGGCCTGATTATGCAGATGTGGCATTTATGATGTAGTTAATGCGTTTTATGATGCAGTGGACACGTTTTTTTTAATTAGATAGGGCTAAAGCTTCAAGATAAATCCAAACAAATCCAAAAAAATTCCAAAAAATTCAAAAAAAATCACTAATGGAATTCTATAAATACCCCCTTCATAACCTAAAAAGGAGATGAGACCAAAAAAGAAAGAAATCCCTTGGAAAATCCCATAATTAAAAAAATAACCCAAAAAATACTCAAAAATGGGAAAACGCCTTGGAAAATTCCGGAAAAATTAGAAAAATTCCCAAAAAAATCACATAAATCAGAATTCATATTCAACCTTAGGAAATCTCAAACCTTTAGAAAACTATGAAAATTCTCTGTCAATCCCAAGAAAAGCCTAGGTAGAACCCTACATAAAATTCACAGCTTGTTCCTATGTCTTAAGAACCCTTGATCTAGGTCAAAGAACCTTAGATCTACAAATTCCAGCAAGCAAAAGGCATTCAAAAAAAAGAAATGGTGGCGCACATCGGAAGAGCGGCCTGATCCGAGCCTGAAACTCCAGGTTCAGGTCCCTAGAGGTAAATATATCTTTCTTTGCTTAATTTAGTTAATTTTTCTTTATTTAATTCTCTGCTTTATTTTATTTTTTCTGGAAATTAATTCATCACTATATTTAATTAAATTTAGAAACACTTTTTTTGTCCAATACGGATTTAGAGCTGGCGCTGCATAGATCTGGGATTTTTACTGAGCCCATAATTCAAGCAACCCCACTCTCTCTACCTTTTCAAAAGTAACCAGTTTTTGCTAAGATTTGAGCAGATCTCATCTCAGAGATCGGCACAAATCGAAGCGTAAACACAAATAAATTTATATAAAATTCTTGAATTATCAATAACAATTGCTAAAACTTTTCTCATTTATTACAGTATCTATGAAGGCATTACATAATTTTTTATCTAAATCATATACTCACAACATGTGCGAAGCGTGTGTTCCCTCGTTAGTTACTGTAAAACCATTATATGCCTTTAATATAAGGAGGTCACAATTACTTATAACATTTGATGTGAAATCTGATAGTATGGGTGCGCCATGAAGTTTGAAAAAAATTCATTTGAAGTTTGAGCTTAGTCAATGGAATAAATGCAGCCACCTCATTTTACATCCAATGAACAAGATTAGTTGTGATCACTTTGTACCAAAAGTAATTAGTCTCAT